GCCACCACCATCGAAAACCTTCAACGCATGGCTACCGCATGGGCGCCACGACGCCAGCCGATCGTTAAGGGGGAGCTCGACTCTCGACACGCTCCAGCTCCATCCGCGCAGTTGGGTTGGATGGGGAGAGGGTGAGAGAGAAGAAAGGATCCCCTCTCCCCCACACTAGCCTGCCCGACGCGGCCATCTTTTGTCAGCAAAGGCGACGTCGCAAGAGGACAAAAGCCTAGATTGGGGCCCATGAAGGACCGCGGCTCCCCCTTAACAGAACAAGCGCCGACTCCGCCATGATCCTGTTGTCCGCGTCACCTCGGGCCACTAGACCGTTTCGCTGGCGCCTTGCCACCCTCCGTCACAGTGCTCCCGCCATCCAAAACGTCGCGGCACTAGAACATCCACCGAAGCACGATGCTCTTACCCCTGATCCGGTGGAGGGGATAGGGTCTTGTCCGGGGAGAGGCCGAACACCCAACACGCGCCAAAATTACCATGTCCAGCGCCAGCATATATTTGATAATCCTGGTATCCATGATAGTTTATAGTTAAAAAAACAATAAAAAATTACTCAAAAATATTTTTTTAATTTATCTGAACTTGGTGGGATTACTAGGCATTTATCATTATCTCACCCCAGTAAGCCAGAGTGCTGTGCGGAACCAGCGTTAAAGAAAAGCACGCTGATTACACACCTGATCTAGCCATATCTTGATCCATAACATTCATTCATATTTTTTTTCCTTTGGTCTATGTAAAACACAGAGCGAGAGAGAGAGAGAGTGTGTGTGGATTATATCAATGTAAGACATATTAACCACTTAGATTATGAAATAAGGACTGTTAAACAAAGGGATTATACTGACTAGTTTAGAGTGTGAAACATATGTGTGTGTGTGTGTGGTACTACTATCTTTGAGTTAATTAATTTTAAGGATCTGCTCTGATTGGAGGATTGGGACAATAGTCAATATTTAAGATATGGTAGCATGTTACCAAATTAATCAAGCTGGTGCATAGTCAATGAATAAGATTTAACATGAAAGCGATACTAATAGCTGGGAGGTGTACTTCAGGAATAGCCCTCCGGAATCTTGCTATTTAAGAGTATTAAACGTAGATTATTGACAAAACTCAGGCCATAACCCCTAGGCTATTTTGCGAGACGATTATTCGTCTCGCAAAATAGCCTAGGGGTTATGGAATCGGTTTTATCGGTAATCTACGTTTAATAATCTTAAATAGCAAGATTCTGAAGGACTATTTAATAGCCCGGAGGATCCAAACAAGGCTATAACAGTAACACCAATCCGAATGACACGGCGAGAGAGCTAGGGAACCTTCCATCACGTGAATTTGGATGCTAGACTGCTAGAGTGTGAGAGGCAGAATTTGCCTTACAGTTCAATATTAGTGCTGATGCAAATCCCTCTCGCTGCATATTAAACTGTTTTATTTACAAAATAAGGACCACACCTATGCATGGAACATGAAGTATACAGACAGATCTAGAATGCGAGGCCCACATGTAGGGCCCCTTTGAATCGCAGGACTGAGAAAATGTAAGAATAGGAAAAACGTAGGATTTTGATAGGAATGTAAGTGTAAAACAGAGGATTGCAAAACACAGGAATGACCATTTAATTGAACCACAGAAAAAACACAGGAATTGGATGAAAGAGATAGCCTCAAAAGAAAGTTAGTAAGAGGTCGAAGCTCTTGCTAAATTTTTTCCAAAATCTCTATAGGATTGTCCATTCCATAGGAATTTTAAAGGATTGGATAGGATTCAATCCTTTGTTTCAAAGGACTTCATAGGAAATTTTCCTATAGAATTAAAATCCTTTAAAATTTCTATGTTTTTCCTCCAAATCAAAGGAGACCGTAGTAGTATCGCGTAGTAGAGGATTTGCTGGATCGGGGGAGTAGGACAAGATTCAATATTTTAATTGGATTGCAATGCGTTACCAAATTAATTAATCAGTGGTCAGTGTACAAATTTAACAACATGAAAGTGATACTACTGTTTTGCACCGAGATACATATACAATCATAACACGATGATAGCCATGAGACGTACCTGACATAATAGCTACCGATCGAGTGACATAGGCTGTGTGTTTAGATCCAAAGTTTGGATTCAAACTTTAGTAATTTTCCATCATAACAACCTATCATATACACACAATTTTTCAGTCACATCATCTCCAATTTCAACCAAAATACAAACTTTGCGCTGAACTAAACGCAGCCATATACGGGAAGCTACCTGGCAACTCGCATAACGCCAACACGTAAATTTGAATCCTACAGCATTCTCTCCATCTCAAAATAATTTTATTTTTATCTACTTCACACATAACAATACAAAACTAAAAAAATAAAATATTCTTATTTTATCAAACTCCGATGCAATTCTTTCTCACTTTATCTATTTTCAATGTATTTATCCTATATATTTATAAACTCCGATACAATGATTACTCACCAATAAAATTATTCAGGGACAAACAAAAGAGATAAAAATAAATTTATTCTGGACGGAGGGAGCAGTAGATTAATAAGCAGAATTGATTGTTACGACAGGAGCTATATATATACATTTTGCTCTTTCATTATCTATAAAAGAACACACGATTGACAAAACATCGACGCGACCGTCACGGCAAGCCACAGGCGAAGCGGCACGATGTAGAGGTGCCGAAGCAGAACGCGCTCCCTTCTCTCAGAAGCTTTCTACAGATTTACGCGGCTTAACCCTCAAATAAAGCGAGATCAGAGGCGTGATTTCCTCATTTAATAGCCTTCCAATGAAACTGAACCATTTCTAATCAAGAGACTTTTCCAAGTTTTGTCTCTACTGTACAAGTGTACAGTGATGTACAGATGTGATAGATAGCTTAGCTGGGGCTTTAACGCGGTGAGACTTTGATATATACTCCTTTCATCCTAAAATGACGAAATTAGACTCATCTTAGGCAGTTGTCTGGTCTCATTCTAGATTATACTCTCTACATTTTATATTATAAGACTTTGTAGTATTATCCACATTTATATAGATTTTAATGAATCTATACACATATATGTCTAGATTCATTAATATATGTATAAATGTGAGCAATGCTAGAAAGTATTATAATATGAAACGGAGGGAGTAATATTTTAGGACGGAGGAATCATCTAGCAATTGAACGGAGCTCTCGTCGACTCGTTCCTCTTTCAATCGATTACATCGAATTGAGTTTTACGAAATGGGTGTACAGGATTCAGTGCTACCACTCATGCAGACGACAACAAGGGGGTGAGACACCCTCACTACGCCCAATTAGGCGTGAACCAAATGAACGAACAACGCTACTTCAGCCCCACATCTGTAAATGTCGTCGTCACCATCAACTTCATCACACAATTGCCGAAAATGATTCTGATGAAGCATGCTAGAAGAGGTCGGCTTAGGCAGCTAGTATTAGGGGTAGACAAAAAGCCTCAAAACTCGGGACTTGGATAGGCTTGTAGTCAGCTTGGATCGGATGAATTGGCTTGGAGCCATAGTTTTAATTAGTTAGCCTTTTAGCTGTAAGCTTAACGAGCTACCTCGCGAGCTGCTCGTTTAGCTCGTCAGTACAAGATATCACCATACTTTTATATACTTAATACTTTCTCCGTTTCATATTACTCCCTCCGTTTCACAATGTAAGTCATTCTAGCATTTCCCATATTCATATTGATGCTAATAAATCTAGACATATATATATATATATATATATATATCTATCTAGATTCATTAATATCAATATAAATGTGGAAAATGGTAGAATGACTTACATTGTGAAACGGAGGAAGTATAAGACTTTCTAGCATTGTCCACATTCATATATATATATATTAATGAATCTAGACATATATGTATACCTATATTTATTAACATCTATATGAATATGGGCTAGAGCTTAGTCTAGTAATTACATTAAAACTATTTATATTTAGTGAATTCTTTATTATTTGATGTTTATTATTATGGTAATATGTAATAAAATGATAAATTTGAAATTATCAATATATAATAAGAAAGATAAATAGCTCGGTAACAAGTCTAACGAGCCAGCTTTTGAGCCGAGCAAGATAGCCTTTTAGCTCGTTAACGTTAAAATAACGAGCTTGAACAAGTCAAGCTGGCTTGTTAATCCACCCCTTAAGCAAGATTTAGGGTCTGTTTAGGGAGCTTCTAGCTGCTGCACCTTCTTCTAGAATCTCCAGGTCCCCCAAACAGTCCAGATTGCCACTCAAATTTTGAGAGTCCAAAAGCTGAAAAACCCAGCTTTCTAGATTCTCAGAAGTTAGCTACCAACCAGCGGATTCTCAGAATCTTCCCCAACCTAGGCCTTAGAGGCATCGAGGATGATTGCATTTTGGAGTTGTTCCAGAATTTCGAGACGCGGGTCGAATGGAATATGAACTTGAAATGATCATGACCATAGCTACTCGCAGAATTCTTTTGCCCCGATTCGGAGAATGGCCACGCGTCCCTCGCCACGTCCGATTTCCTGCTGGCCACGAAACCAAATAATCCCCCCCCCCCCCCCCCCCACGAGATGCGTATTCCGAAACCGTACAGACGCCGGCCTGCCGCCCTGTGTGATCCTACGAACCGACCGAATTAACTCCCCAGCAGCTTCCAGCTTGCTTGACAAGCAACCACGTCGATCGACCGTCCGTCGTCACGTCTCGTTGTAGGCAACCGCCAAGCCTCTTCCAGAAATATCGTACTAGTAGCAAAACATGTGTAAAACCGAAAAAAAAAAACAAATAACCCCCGTTCACACGGAAACGGGAACCTTGCCAACGGCACACCGCGTGCCTCACGAGTGACGTGTTCCGTCGCCACCTCGAAGCCCAAACAGCGCAGCGCAGGCAGGGCATCGAGATAAAAGCAGCGAAGTGATGAAGGCGACCTTCGAGAAGGTCGCGTCCCCCCTCGATCGATCGCCTATATAAACGCCACGCACCGTTGGCTGACTAGTTATTAGTTGGTGATCGCTTGGGGCAGCTTCCTTCCTTCCCTCCCAAAATCCACCTCACAACCACACGAGACGAGAGCCAACCGCGACGCATCGTCACATCACAGAGGAGGCGGTGGCCATGGAAGAGAGACCTCGCGATCGCACCGTCGAGGAGGCCGCGGCGTTCTCCGGCGATGAGTCCGATGGGGAATTCGAGTTCCCGTTCGTGAGCAGGGAGACGGACGCCGGGGGCGTGGCCGACGAGCTCTTCGCGGACGGCCGCATCAGGGCGTTCTACCCGGTGTTTGGCCGCGTGCTCGACGACGTGGCGGTGACGCCTGCGGCGGCGGCGGCGGAGGAGCGGAGGCCGCCGCTCGGGAGGCTGTTCCTCGAGGAGGGGCGGACCTCGTCCGTCGGGTCGACGTCGTCGTCGTCGTCGTCCACGGACATCGCCGAGCTGGACGGCGTGTCGCCCGACAGCTACTGCGTCTGGGTGCCCGGGTCGTCGCCGGCGTCCTCGCCGTCGCGCCCCCCGCGGAAGAGCGGGTCGACGGGGTCCATCGCGCGGTGGCGCCGCATCAGCGAGCTCGTCGTCGGCCGCAGCCACAGCGACGGCAAGGAGAAGTTCCGCTTCCTCTCCGCGCCGTCGTCCCCGGCCAGGGATCACCCCAAACCGAAGCCCACGACGAAGGGCGGCGCCGCCGCCGCCACCAAGCTCCACACCGAGCTCGACACCATCGCCGCCGGCCACCGGCTGTCCTACTCCCCCAACCACAAGGCGCACGGCGGCGCGACGCGGCGGACGTTCCTGCCGTACCGCCAGGATCTCATGGGCATCTTCGCCAACGTGAACGGCCTCAGCCGGACTCACCACCGCCCCTTCTGATCGCCGGACACAAGCCGTCACCGTCAGGGCGAATGACCACTTCAACTCAAAAAAGTGAGAAAGAGAGATTTCGAGTTTGAATTCTCCGGGATTTGAAGTTTCGAACCTTTGACTTGAAGCCTACTGCAATTTGAAGTTTGTGTGATTAGCGTAATCTATAGCTTTGCTATTGCACGGGGGATTAATGAAGTCAAAATTGGAGGCGTGAAGTCAGAACAGGCGAAATGTGGGGGATTCGCTGAGGAATACAGCTCTGCAAGTCGGTTTATTGCGAACGACATGTGAAGTTGTGAACGTGGTAGGGAATCACACACGGGGAAGTTGTGAGAGAAAAAAAAGAAGAGCTTCCATGTGATTATTTGTACTTGTACATATGTGTATGTGTATTATTGGATATGTAGATTGACAGGAGTCGTTTTTTTCCCCCTTGTTTGCACAATCTAACTACTGGAGTAGTTGTGTTGCTTTTTCTGCATACTTTGTTTGCCCTATATTTCTTTCTCTGTTGGGTTTCCGACAATGATTGGGCGTGCGATTAGAATAACTTGTGAATTTTCGCCTAATGAAATGGTATGAAGAGCTACATGCGACTATACGAGTAATTGATTGCATGGAAGGTGAACCGCATTCATGCCACCAATTGTTTCAATCATCTCGTGATCATCTAGAACATTGACCTTTTTCCCTTTGGAATTGACAGAACTAAAAAAATCAGGCGATATTTTGTTTGCTAAGAGCAATTTCAATAGTATAGCCAACTGCTGACTAAGGCCTGTTTGGTACAGTTCCAACTCTTAAAATTAACTTCAGGAGTTGAGTATGGAGTGGAGTTGTTGAGCTGCCTAAACCTAGCTCCACAACTCTAGTATATTTTGTGAGAGAGGTCCACCCAACTCTACTCCCAGTTTTGGTGGAGCTGAAACTGTTTGCCTGAGCTCCAGCTCTAGGAGGGGTGGAGCTGGAGCTGGAGCTGTGCCAAACAGGCCCGTAACAAATCATCTGTAGCTAATCTAATAGCCCATTCATTCAATAGTTACGTATAAAAATATACTACACCATTAATACCAGGTCCTACCTCTCATACACACATAACGTCTTGGAGTCCGTGTTGCAGTCGGCTACAAATCTGTAGCCTGCTTTCTTCTCCCTCTTCTCTTTTCTTCTCGATACGTGGTTATAGCTTGCTTATAGTTTGCTATTGTATTTGCTCTAAGATTCAACAGGCATGTACTTTTATTTTATTTTTTTTTCTATTTTTGCTCTTTTCAAAGAACCCACTTAAAGTAACTGTCATTCAATTATATACCGACATCTTTGGCTCAATTTTCAGGTCTGCTTTAGTTCCCAACTTTTTCTTTAAACTTTTAACTTTTTTATCACATCAAAACTTTTCTACACATATAAACTTCCAACTTTTTTCTTCAAACTTTCAATTTTAGTCAAACTTCTAATTTTGACATGAAACTAAACACAGCCAGTTGTTTTCCCCGAGTGTAATTGCTCTCTCTCCAGATGTAAATATGCTTCAACATTTCCTTATCTTCTCTTTCAAGTAGATAATAAATTATTTTTATTCTTAATTCTCTTATACATTGTATATTAGAAAAATAATATATTTTTTCGAAAAGAAGAAAATACAATGTAAATTTTGAAACTTACCATGTAACTGCAGAGTAAGTTTTGAACGTTATATAGTATAATTCTAATATAAGTGGATCTTCAAGAGTGGCTATTTTTCTATCAGAATGCACAAATTACATAGCCATATTTATGTTTCACTACAACAGTATCTATAATCTCTACATTAAACTGTTCAATCGAACAATAGATCCCATTTGTTAGACTCTCTTTATTTATTCTTCCTCTCTCTCCATCTAGATCTTTCCCCTCGCCAACCACTCCACCCTGCCTCACTAGTGAGACGTACGCTGGATCGAAGGCCGACGGCCGCGATGCTGATAGCATCATTGCAAGATATGCAGCAGATCATGGTCCCCATCGGTTGATCTAGTCTTATTATAAGCCATAAGGCTTTTTAGCGATTACAAAATGATACGTGAGTAAAACTTTTGTATATATGTTTTTAGTGATTGAAAAGCCAAAGTTGAAAAAAACTATGTTGAAAAAAAATCAAATTCAAATTCAAGTTTTAAAATTAAAATTTTGGTTTTGGCTTATAAGCCATAAGGCAAACGATGAGGCCCCATGTTGACGGCGGTGCTTGGCAGATGGGTGAACGGCCGGATATAAAAAGCGTTGGCGAGGAACCGAAGCTGCCTCAGGTCGTGGCACCCACCTTTTGGCAAAGCCGGAATAGATAGCAAGCTAGGGGGAGTGGTTTGGCTATCAAAATAGCATGTTGCTTGGAGACATGTTTCTCTATAGACTATATGTTTGCCAAATTTTGACATGGAGAGTCAAACAACAACTCTCCTGGAGTTACTTAAAAACTAGCAAATGCTAGCTTGAAAAAAAGTTACTTAAACATGTCACCGATAACCCATACCTCCATTAGCTTTTCAGAAATGACCAGAGGAGCCTCTTTTGTTCAACCCTCAAGTATAATCCACCTCTAGGAAAAAGCAACAAAGAGTACGGCAGTTTGTGATGCTTACAGATCACAAACTATGAGTCCTATCTATTCCTAACAGTTCCATTAATCTAGGCGCATGATTAATTTGAAAAGTTGGGTTCTAAGCATGTGAATGTTGTACCCAAAATATTTCACATTTCGTGGCATGTGAATTAACCACTTGATTGTGCACCCTCATTTCCAACTCTCCATTACTACGGGGAGACGGGACACCCTGACCTCCCCGGAAAAGCGGAGCCCCTCGTCCTATCAGACGGAGCCTGGACATAGCCCGGACTCTAATCCGTCGCCTGTTGCTTGCTCCCGACTTCTGCTGCAAAACGAGCGCTGCTGCATCGCGGCATGCGTCGATGCATATCTGAGCGCCTGGTCAGGCAGGTTCCACGGCTGCTACGGCATCATCCAGATGATGCAAACAGCCTCTCAATCCAGGGAGGAAAACACAGAGCGTCCCGATGTTACAGCCTGAAGAAAGAAAAACAGAGAAGTGGATACTCTTGCAGTTTTCCCAAATCGGACGCAACCTGCACTCAATCACGAGTTGTTTGATCAGTGTAGTGCTAGTAACGCTCAGCTGTAGAGTCCGAACTGATCAATGCCATCTCCACGACGACATGATCAGTGAGAATTGATGGGTGTCAAACGTATTTGTCAGTTCAGTTTTCAGGTCAGGTGTGCGTCTGTCTACGTTCAGTGATCAGGGTGTTCAGGCAGGTATTTTCCATCACCTGTGTCCGAATGGTGGTACATCACTACATCAGCAGCAGCCAAATTAATTCCGAAAGCCATTATGCACGGGTTTGATGTAAATCTCTCGCAATCACATGCTCTGATAATTACTCTCCATCGTCATGTGTAATTTCAGGGTTTGCCTAACACCCAAGCACCTAACAGTTAGGCGCATATACACTGACCCTGCAGCTAGCTTGTTTAACCCGAGGAGATGACACACGTTAGCCGTAATCCTCGCCTCATCCCAAGCTCACGAAATCAACTGCTGCAAGAAAGCACCATCTCATTACCTCTGAAACTGCTCCTGACCTGAGCTGCTCGAACAGAGAGCAGTGACTAGCTGGTATGAAATGTCAATGAGTATCCGTTGCCGTTTCAGCGTCATTCTTTTTCTTCAATTCATTTATCCCGAAATTAAGCATGCCTGTTTGCTTACGGATATACATGTATGCGGACATGTGGATTCAGTGGATATATGCACGTACGTCATCTTGGACCGGTCAGTTTATTGACACGCCGATAATGCATGCCTTAGCTCACTAGCTAGATTATGGTTGGTGTGATCCAGGTTAGGTTGGTTATTGGTAAGTACTAGTAGTACGTACTAGCTTACGCTAGGTTTGTGGCTAATATAGATCAGAGCTTCATGAAAAGGCAGAAAAGGACATGTGCTAACACATATATTTCTCACAAGATATTGCAAGAAAGAACATGTCAAAGTGAACAGCTGGAAGCTAGTAACTGCCGGATTACAACATCAGCAGCGGGTTTCTTGCGATCTACGCGCTCGAGATCTTGATCGATCTCGCGGATAAATTCAACGGCAGATTAACTACAGAGAATCGTGTGATCCATGCGTTCGCACACTGCGCATAGTGATTATCCCACGGGAGAGGAGGAAAGCATCGTCATCTCGTGCGATTATTACATGGAGCCGCACGTAAATGAACACGAAAAAGAATGTTATTCTAATCCATAGACAATTTTGTTCTGGTGCAGTGCGTTTTGCGTAAGTACGTGCGTGATATCAGAGATGAGAAATGTTCAGCATCCGGAGAGTGTTCAGACATGTTTTTTTTTATTTTCCTTTTTAGCATGACTGTTCTTTGTTTGGTGGTGATTAATTGTTAATGTCCTATGTAGGTCAGTATGCACTACAAATATATCTATCTATCTATTATATTATTAAAACAGCTTTGAAAGAAGGCACCACGTTCGCTGTGAAAGCTAGAAAAAATTACCACATTAATCGTAGAAAAAGAAAAGTAAATTAACCATTGGATTGTGATAATTGGATTGTGATAAGTCTAGATTTTAATGGCTAAGATTTATTGGAGGTATGTTGGATCAGAATCGTACAGAGAAATACCGCTAATAATATATGAGGAGTTAGAGTAGGCTGATGAGTTAGGAATGGATACGGACGTCATTAAACAGTACGGACTTAAAGCACGGATTAGAGTAGAACTTGAAGATGGATACATCCAATTCAAAACAGTATGCGCATGTAGGCGAAGGCAAAGACCAAGACAACTCATGCGTTCCTCAGCCAAAAATCGAATATACCATGCATGAAAAAGAAAAAAATGACTAACAATGTGGAAAAAAAATCATTCAATGAAGAAGATCATTTGCAGATACACTGTAACTAATTAAAATGTACAGCGGTATAAATAGATCATGGATATATATAAAATATTGTTATATTTATTAATAAAAATATACGATGACGTAGAAAGGTTGTCAGGATCGGGATACTAGGTAGTATCGTTTTGCTCAAAGTAATATCGTATCGTAGGATCGGGATACTATGAGATTTTTTAAAAAAATTAATTACTATTTATATTAATTATATATAGACATTCTATATAAAAAAATATAGTAATGATATATGTCATTCAAATAGAGACATTTATTAAGAGAAACCACGTTGGTTTTGATATATTTAACTGATTTTTATATAAATTTGAGCATATTTATTTATATTATAAAAATAACGAAATTCAGAAAAATGAGAAGAGTTCAAGTAGGAATACAATTTAAAAATAACTGAAATTTGAAGTTTAAAATAAGAAATATTGAAAGAAGAGTCCATACAAGAATCCAATACGAGATTAATTAAAATTCAGAATAAAAAAATAAAAAATCAAAATTAGAAAAAAGGATAATAAAAGAAGAGTTCAAGTAGGAATACAATTTAAAATTAACTGAAATTCGGA